ATTAAGACTAAAAACTAACGTAGAATACTATTTAACTTACCAATCCATGTGGATACGATATTATACTATACTATATTTGATTAGCGAGCATAATTTAAGTTTGTGTTTTGCGCTCGTCAAATTTTGGCGCCATTGCCGGGGATTCACAATCAATAGTGTTTAAAATAGTTTTTAGTGCTATTCAGGAATTTTTATTTTATTTTTCCCTTTTAACGGTTGGTGTTCTTTGGTTGTGCGCAAGTTATATTGGTGCATGACTCGAGCTTCTGCGAAAGTAGTGCTACCATTCGAGGCAGAGTTAGTAACAAAATCGCGACAACTGAGGAAGGAAAGAGATCTCACCGAAAAGCTAGAAAAGGTTGGGCAATCCTCAACCCAAGAAACTATGGCAGGAAACCGTGATCATAATGCAGATTTGGCTGCAAGAGAGGCAACCCAACAATGAGAAAAAGCTGCAAGGGATGCTGAGGAAGTAGCTATTAGAGATGCACTGAACATCAATGAAGAAGAGAGGGGTCACAAACATAATTAACATCAACCCTTGGCTTCAGACCAGTTCGGAAATATAGCTCCCAAGCCTAGGAGACCACTTGGAGATTATGCTAGACCGGTCTACAATCAAGGATTATCGAGTGTTAGACCAACTCCAATTGCAGCAAACAATTTTGAGTTGAAGCAAGGGTTGCTTCAAACCCTTCAGAATTGTTGTGTATTCAGAGGGAAGCCAAACAAAAATCGAATCACTCATCCAATGGACTTCGAGGAGATTATGAACACTGTTCAATACAATAGGGTGTCACAAGATGCGGTATACTTAAGGACATTCCCCTTTTCACTTAAAGATGATGCTAAGGAGTGGCTTCGAGGTTTGCCCAGTGGATCGATTAGAACTTGGGAGGAGATGACTAGAAAATTCCTTGATAAATATTTCTCCTTAGCTAAGACAGACAAGATTAGAAGAGAAATCCATAACTTCTGCCAGAAAGAGACTGAAACTGTTTTTGAAGCATGGGAGAGGTTTAAGGAGATAGTTAGAAAGTATCAACATAGCGGAATTGAACTTTGGGTGCAACTCTAGGACTTTTGGGAAGGATTGATGCCGGCCTCGCGTAGAACATTGAGCAATGCGTTGGAGGCCTATTGATAAAGAAGACTCCAGAGGAGATAGTTACAATTCTTGATGAGTTATCTGAAGATGCAAATCAGTGGCCCTCTAAGAGTGCTGAAAGAAGAAGATCAACTGGTGTTCACCAAGTTGATGATAATACATCTGTGCAGGTACAACTTGATGCTATGTCTAATGAAATATGAAATCTGACCTTAGCCTCAATGCAAAATGAGCCTCACGCAGCTTGTGATATATGTGGAAGAGGACACCCTACTCATGAGTGTCAAGCCTCAAGTGAGGAAGTGAATGTTGTGAAAAATTTTAATTTTAATGCAATGCGTCAGAGGCATCCCAGTTTTTCATGGAGTTCATCTGGGGGTACTGCGAATGCATGGCAACATATCTACCCAGACCCCAGGGACAAGGAGCTCCGGTCTTCCAAAATCAGCAGAGGCAGCAATATCAGCCTTAACAGCCCATTCAATCTGGCATAGAAGATCTCATGAATGGCCTTCATTCTCAAAACTGATGAGAGGCTTGAAGCTCATAGCTCAACTACCAAAGAACTTGTCACGGGTTTTCAAAACCTGGAAAGACAGGTTGGGCAGCTAGCTACTCTATTGTCTAAAAGGATTCCAGGAACTCTCCCACCTGACACTGAAAGAAATCCCAAGGAAACAATGAATGATGTAACTTTGCGAAGTGGACAAGTGTTGAAAGATCTCATCCCAATCCAAAAAGATGTGAGACTTGAAAAAGAAAGTGGGGAGTAGCTGAAAAGTGATGTTGGAAAGAAGAAGAAAGGCCAGACAAAAGCTGAGAAGAAAAAGAATGAAGGGAGGACCCTGAGGAGATAAGTATATGCCTGCTCTACCTTTCCCTCAAAAGCAAAGTAGAGAAAAGCTGGACAAGCAGTTTGAGAGATTACTGGATGTGCTGAAACAGGTTCAAGTAAACTTATCACATAAGTGCTCTCACAGATGCTTGCTTATGCCAAATTCTTGAAATAGATCCTTAGAAAGAAGAGAAAAATAGGGGAGACTTCAGTGGTCAAGCTCACAGAGCATTGCAGTGCAATATTGCAAAATAAACTCCCACAAAAGTGTGGAAATCCAGGGAGTTTTACTATACTTTGCTCTGTAGGAACCATTCATTTTGATAAATCCTTATGTGATTCTGGTGCTTCAATTAATTTAATGCCTCTATCTATTTATAGAGAACCGAAGAAAGAGATTGGAGAGATAAGGTCTGCAACCATATCTTTGCAGCAGGCACATCAAACGACTATAATACCCGAGTGGATAGTGGAAGATATGTTAGTTCGGGTGGGTAAGTTCGTATTTCCTGTGGATTTTATAGTAGTAAATATGGAGGAAAATAAGGAGGTCCCCCTCATACTAGGTAGATCATTCTTAGCAACGGGTAGAGCGATATTAGATATACATGAGAGAAAACTCATGCTTAGAGTGGGCGAGGAGACTGTGACTTTTAAGATGGATGTAGAAAAAGGGGCACAGAAGGACAAACGAGCTATGGGTATTGAGTGGAAAGTGAAGAGCTCGAAAGAGAAGGCTGCGGTGAGCGAAAAATATAAGTGTTGGGTGTACCTCAAGAAGGCCAAAAAGAAGCTGTCCGCATGGATGTGTGCATTAGTTCGGAGGCGAGGAATGGAGCCCGACTTGAAGTCAGACCTTGACTAGATGTTCAGGGAATTTTCGTTTACCTTATGCTTTTTAATTGTGTATCATGGGGACAAGCCACAACTTAAAGTGTGGGGTGGGGGGATATTTTTATGTTTGTATGTATATTAGTCTTCTTTTTGCTTAGTTGTAGTAGTTAGAGATAGAAAAAAAGTGAAAAAACATAAAAAATTTAAGAATTCTGATTTTTTCCGACGATGGATATCATCGACAGGTTTCTTGAGGGATTAAAGTCGAAGGAAAAAGACAAAAAGATTTTCTTTTTTAGGTGGTGTAACAAGTCCCCCTTGGTTTTTCTTTTTGCCGCGGTTTTTTCCCAAGGTTTTATTTGAACCGGGTGTAATTAGTTTTTATATTTTTTTAGGAGTAGGAAATTTTGTGCTATGATTTGAATTGAAGGAAATATCTCTTCACTTTATTATTCCTTGAGAATAGGGAGTGCTTTAGTTGTGTTGCTGAGGCTCAGTATTTTACTCTTGTGTAAGTACCATGAATTGTATGATCTTAACTTTGCTTAACTACTTCGACTAGAGTGTCTTGATGAGCCCGATCCTGAGTGAGTTATGTGCCATGTGTGTGCGAGGTTTTGTGTTATTCTGTGCATTGAATTTGATGTTTAGAACTTGTCCCGTGTGTTTTCAAAGTGAAATAGTAGTTTTATTCAGTCTTGGAAGTGATTTAGGCGTTTGTTTGTTGAGCCAGTTATATGCTTTTACCCACCTAATTGCTATGTATCTTAGTTAACCCCTTTGATCCTGTAATCTTGTTTCTTTAGAAATCACATTACAAGCCTTACCTATTTATTTGAATTGACTATCTATTTGAACCGTTTACCTCTCGTGAGCACTTGAATTTTTTATGAACTTTGTAAAAGTTAATGTATGAGGTGTTGGTTTGGATTTTGAGTGGAACTATTGAAATAAGGAAAAATGAGCACTATTTTGAAAAAGTAAGAGCCACTGGAATTGAAAAAGAAAGAAAATAATAATTGTATGATTGTGAAAAATATTCCTTGATAGTGGTAACTCTTGATGTATTTGTGCTTAAAGAAGTTGGGAGGTGATGTATATTGATGTGAAGGTGGGGTTATGGTTTGACACAAGTCTGGGTTTTTGAATAGTTAATTATATGTATTTAAGTGCTTAGGGAGGTGTATTTGTTGACACCCAATTTTTCCCTATATATTTTTCAATATGAAAAAATAGCTTCAAAATGGTATATATATGCATATATCCAAGTGCTTCATTACTTTTCCTTAATTTTAAAAGATTTTTTTTATCTATTTATTCTCCTATTTTATCCATAAAATTCAGTAATTGTTTCCAAAATTATCATTTTTGGTGATTCACTTATTGCACTTTTACCCGATCAATCCAAGCCGTTGATCCTTCTTGATCAACGGCCAGAAACCCCCCTTACCTAAATTAATCCTAAACGACCCCCTTAAACCCTACCATTTCCCCCATACGCTGCCTCTGAATTCCCCTCCTCTCTCAACTCCTCTCTACAACAACCCCAAACCCTAGGCACCGCCACCTTAATCTGCCCTAACCCATGGCTCTCCGGGATCATCTAAGACCTGTATCAGCCTCCCATGGCTTCTACATGTTTGTTGCTATGGTCTCATGACCAGACTCTGAAGCGGGTTTGGTCCAGTCTTTGCTCGATGACCTTTCTCCGGTCATCTCTGACCCCTCTCCGGCCAGCCATGGCCATTCGAGTCGGACCTTTGACTCTCTTGTCTAGATCGGTAACTTTCGAAGCCTCTCTCACCTTTTCTGGGTCTTCTAAAACCCTAATCGCTAAGATCCTCTCCGATTTCCTTCAGATCTACTTTCGTTCTGTGTTTATCTTGAACTTTTAAACTTTCTTCTCGAAGTTTCTTCAATTTTGCTTTCAAAATGACTCTTTGTCTTTTCCGATTAGGTATTTTCCTGTTAAGTTATTTCAAAATCTCTTCTCTAACTTTTAACACGTTTAAGATGTGTGCTTGTTTGAACTCTTGCTTGACTTTTCTGTTTACCATCTTTAAAACGTGATTGATGTTGAAAACCCTAATTTCTTCGGGTTCATTCGAGTTTCTGAGACTATTTGCTGATCTTGTCTGATTTACTTGTTCATCATCTTTAAACTCGATTGGTGTTAAAAACCCTAATTTCTTCGGGTTCATTCGAGTTTCTGAGACTATTTGCTAGATATTGTCTGATTTACCTGTTTATCATCTTTAAACTTGATTGATGTTGAAAACCTGAATCTCTTTTGGGTTCATTCGAGTTTTTGAAACTGTTTGCTAAGTGTTTGTGTAATCTATTTATTCATCATCTTTAAACTCGATCGATGTTGAAAAACCCTAGTTTCCTTTTGGGTCTATTCGAGTTTCTAAACTGCTTGTTCAACTTATTTGTTTATCATCTTTTAAGCTTGAATATTGTTTAAGAAAACCTATGTCTTTGAGTCGAAACTGCTCGTTTGAATGCCTGACTTGATTTGAAGTTCCTTGTTTCAGCATCTCTTTCCCTTATATATTTCCTCTGATTCTGGGTTCTTATTATCTTTGAAACTCGACTATGCTGTGAGACCCTTTGCATGCTCCTGACACTCTTTTTTTTACTACTAATTCAATGAGACCTGACCTACTTGACTATCATGTTTTGAATATTTGCTATCTACTGACTTTGTACTACTATTGCATGCTGTTTCTTTTGCCAATAGCTTGGCCTCGCATGTCTTTTGTTTGTGCATTCTATTTATATGCTGAGGTTCCTTCTTTGACTGGTGCTCAATTTTGGGACTGATTTCAAAACTTCCCTTTTTGTGAACTCTAATTTTACTCGCCTGTTAAAGGGATTGATCTCTTTCCTTACTTATTACCTTGCTGAATCTTTTTCCCAAAAAAAAACACAAGTGTATCTCTGTACTTAGACTCGATTGCTTACTTAATGGTAACAATCAGTCTGCCTACAAATGGATTGTCTTTCCTTCTTTTGAACCTGTTAGCCCCGTTAAACAAGTAATTCCTTATTTAAAGGGAAATTACTTGGTTGATTGATTCTGATTGCTGATTAGTTCCATATTTGCATTGAACTTTATTTACTGCCTTATTTCTCACATGTTTTCAAAAACTATAAATACCCACCCCCTCTTCTTTGAAACAGATGAACACAAGGCATAAAACACTTGAGTTCAGACACACACCTCACTAAAATCTCTCTCATTTCTCTCTTGCTACTTGTATTGTTGCCTTACCTAGCCAACTGAAAGCCAAGGCTAGGCTGTCGGAAGCGTGCTCATTTTTCTCTGCATTTGGATCTTGACTGGTATGTTCTAACTAATTTTCAGCATCAACAACAACATATTTCTTTCATCCTTGTTTGTCTCCCGTTTGTATTTAACCAAGTTCCATTATTAAGCATGCTGTAGTCTGCCTTTTCTGTTCTGAATTAATGCTTCTGTTAATTACTCATCATGGCTTGAGAACCTTAAATCCCCATTCCCAATGTGTTTGGTATCTGTGGTTGGTTTGGGGCATGACAGCATAGAACATTGCTGTGCATGACCCAAACTTGATTACCCTGGGATGATAACCTCAATATTTCCTCTAGTTGTTGTGTGTTCTGGTTGGCTTATAGGCATGCCAGCACCTTCTATTGGTGTGCAGGCCGAAGCCGACCCCTGCCTAAGTACATAGGCTCCTTGCAATGGATTCCCAACCCCTGACCCCTTTTGTATGAAGTTATTAACTCTGTGTTTTACTAATTATTGTTTCCCTATCACCCTTTACCCCTCTCCTTTATCCCTTCAGTTTTAAAACTCTATTCCTGCACTTCCACTATCTTTTTAGACTTAAATTCTGCCCCTCTTGTGTGAGCCTTGCCTTGGGACCCATGAGCTCCCTCTGAACTTGGACACATAAGGGCTGGCCCTTCCACACTGCACTCTTCTCTATCTGGTTCTATGAACCTGGGTGTCAGCACTGCCCGGGGTCCCTTGAGACCCTTAGGGAACTCTGACACACCCCGGTCCGAGAAAGGCTTTGAACAAGTGGTATTTGAGGCATATTGTTCCATAACTCAGAGAGGAAGTCAGAATCAAGCTTCCTATGGTTGTACTTCCTTTTTTTAAATGTATTTTCTTGATGTAATTCACCACTGGTCTGTAATAATTTTAATAAACATTTGGGGTTGGCTAGTGAAAAAGGGATGGGTAATTATGCATGCTCGAGGGTAGAAAACATGCCTATAGGATTTGTGTTTTGAATGATTCAATTCTGCATTTAGAAAGCATGCCTATAGGACTGTTTTACATCCTGCGTGTTCAATTCTGCATTTTAGACACCATGCCTATAGGGGTTCATTTAAAATTCTGCATGTTCAACTTCATACCTAGATAACCTGCCTATAGGACTTTATTTTAAATTCTGCATGCTTGTTACCACTTAGACATCATGCTCTAGGATCTAAACGGCTATAAATGGGTATCATGTTTATAATGTTAAAATCAGTATAATGTATAGAAATCATGCCTATAGGAATTCCCAGGTGAAAATCCTACCTGTTTCCATTTCACATTCGACTAGATATCATGTCTATAGGAATTAGAACCAGTAACACTAGATATCATGTCTATAGGAATTAAAACCAGTAATAATGGATATCATCATCTGCAGAATCTGAGATTTGTCTAATTTAAAATCAGTCTATTCTGAACTAGTTTTTAAATAACTCAATCTCCCTATTTAACACAGTTTAGCAAGCATGCCTATAGGATTTCAAACCGCTCATTTTTAAGTTTGTTACTGCTTTGCCACAGTCTGAATCAGTAATAGATACCATGCTCATAGGATTCTGCCCCAAACACTTAGGCAAACCTTAGGTAATAACAATAAATAAAGCTAAGCCCGTTTTTGTTAATAATCGCTACAACCAGCAGGCAGGCTTGATTCGGACTTCTTATCTGAGCTATGTAATAAATTGGTCTGCTTCAACAACATAAACTCCCCT